AAGGGGAGAGATCAACCAAAGGACTTGCATGCATATAAGCATAACCAATGGATGCAGACAACAGGGGGTGAGGGTGAGAGCAGGATTGGGGGGTGGGGGAGCAATGAGGGGATAAGGTCACATTTGTAATACCTTAATCAATAAAGGGGGGGGGGAGGAATAAGCCAGTCAGAGAAAGATAACTATTACATGATCTCACTCATTTGTGGAATATAGTGAACAACATAAATTGATGAACAAAAATAGAACCAGAGACATAGAAGCATGGAATAGACTGTCCAACCTATGAGGGTAGGCAGGGGAGAGAGAGGGCATAAGAGATCAACCAAAGAACTTGTATGCATCCATATAAGCATAACCCATGGACACAGACAGTAGTGGGCTGAGGGGTGGGAGCAGCTGGGGGAGGTCTATGGGGGAAAAGGAGACTCATGTAATACTTTAAGCAATAAAGAATTTAAATAAAAAAAATCTTAACTACAACAACAAAAAATTTTATGCTGAGCATTCAGTAACTCTTTGTGTATGTCCTTAGCTGTATTATACGTAGCTGGTTTGTAAAAGATAGTTTAAAAGACAAAGATAAAAAGATTTCATTTTTCCCCTTTTTTTGTCTATGAAGTTGCTGTTTGTTTGTTTATTTATTTATTTAGCCTGTCTGATGTATGTCTGAAACAATGTTGTCCAGCAAAAAATGGGAATTTAATTTTGTTGAGTGTTCTAACAAAACAAAACAAAAAAGAAAAAAAAGAAAAAAGAAAAGGCATTCAACAAAATCCAACACCCATTTTTGATAAAAACTCTTAGCAAAGTGGGAATAGAGGGATCATACCTCAACATAATAAAGGCCATATACGGCAAACGTACAGCCAACATCATTCTCAATGGGCAGAACTAAAACCATTTCCCCTAAAAACAGGAACAAGAAAGGGATGTCTATTTTCACCACTCTTATTCAACATAGTACTGGAAGTCCTAGCCACAGTAATCAGACAAGAAGAAAACATAAAGACATCCAAATTGGAAAGGAGGAAGTAAAACTCTCATTATTCACAGATGATATGATATTGTACATAGAAAACCCTAAAGACTCCAGCAAAAACTACTGTTCACAGCAGCGCAATTTAAAATAGCTAAGACCTAGAAACAGCCCAAGTGACAATCAGTAGGTGAGTGGATAAAAAAGCTGTGGTACATTTACACCATGGAATACCATGCAGCAGTAAAAAAGAAGGATCTTTTACTCTTTGAGACAGCATGGAGGGACCTGGAGAGTATTATGCTAAGAGAAATAAGCCAGTCAGAGAAAGACAAGTATCACATGATCTCACTCGTATGTAGAATCTATTGAACAAAATAAACTGATAAATAAAATAGATCCAGAGACATAGAAGCATGGAACAGACTGGGGAATCTCAGAGGGAAGGCAGGGGAGGGTGGGGGGGTGGGAGGAGATCAACCAAAGAATATGTATGCATATATGCATAACCCATGGACACAGACAATAGGGTGGTGAAGGCCTGGGGCGGGTGCAGTGGCAGGTTAGAAGAGGTCAATGTGGGGGGAAAAGAGGACATATATAATACTTTCAACAATAAAGATTTTTTTAAAAAGAGCATCCCTGTCAAAAGGCCAATTATGAATACTGTATGAGCTATTGCATAAGTACAGGACTTGTGCCACACAAACAATAAGAATTACATAAAACTTAAGTCTTGTTCTTCTCAACAGTGCTCTGACTTTCCACTTGAGATGGGAGAATTGCTATCACCCCCACTTTACAGATAAGAAAAACAAGTAAACAGAAAATATACAAGTCCCCATGGACGCTTAGCATGTTGGTAGGCAGAGGGCCCTTGGACACTGTGGGAAACCCAAGTCCAGAGAGGAGCAGTGCAGGCAGGCCCTGAGGCACAGAACACTGAAGTCTGAAGGCTTCTGCTATGGGATAAGAGGCATCAGCTAGTGTCCTGGAAAGGACCCACAAAGTAGGATTAGAAGATGGACACTCAGCCCCAGTTATGCCTGGACTTTTCACATGACCTGAACAAGCCATTTGTTCATCTGAGCCTGTTTTCTGGCAGGAAATGGGGATATCACTACCTTGTCTATCTCATGGGATGGACCAAAAAAAATCAAATGAGTTGATATATTTGGAGGTACCTTTCAGGTGTAATGTGCAATGCAATGTGAATATAACTTTCCCATGCATATTAATAAACGCAGGGCCAAGGGGTTGGACATCTCCAGATCTCATTTCCACCATCACTGCTCAGTTATATTCAGTGTTAGACTGGAAATCAATGGTGGTGGTGAGGAACATGTTATTTGTTTAAATTCTCATTATTAAAAAAATTTTTGCTCTGCAAATTTATTCCATGAGTGTTTATCAAGATTCTAGTCCAGTCCGTGTTCTGTTCGGGCTGTTGAGTATCTATCCATGAATAACATAAAGAGGGTGCCTGCTCTTGTACAGTTTGAAAAAACATAGGATAGGATCAAACAACAGGTAGGTAAATACACAAATAAGCTAATTTCAGATCATAATAAGTGTAATAAAAATAAAAATTGGGTTATGTGATGAAGAATTGTGTGAGAGGGTGGTTTTAGACATAGTTCTCTGAGAGCTCTCTAAGGAAATGGCATTTGAGAGTATGAAAGTCACGAAAGAGACAAATATATTAAGATCAGAGGGAAGGGCATTTAGGTAGACAAAGAGCAAATGCCATGGTTCAAAGGTATGTGTGAGTGTATGAGATCAAGTTGCAGAAAGAAGATCAGAGCCGTTGGTGATAGGAAGCAAGACAGACAAGATGATGTCCAAGAGGTGATGAATTCCAGATCTCACAGGCCTTTGAAGGTCCATAAAGGGCTTTAGCCTTTATTCAAGATGAGCTGAGAAACATCAATGGCTTAAAATGGGTGAATGGACATGATCCATGTTACATGCTAAAAGAATCATTCTGGAAATGAATTGTAGGAAGGCAAGAGTGAATGTAGGAAGGAAAGTAGTGAAAGATGTGAGTAGTGAGAGCATCTTTTTTCAAACTCACATGAATTTGGGTTTGCCAGTTTTAAGAGTAAGGTTGTTTGCCTCTGGCAGGGAAGGGAGCAGTCTTCTGGCTGTCTTGGGCATCATATAGAGGATGCACTGTGATTGCTTGACTTTGACCTGTTTTATGGCTGCAAGATTGTGTATTTTCTCATCCAGGCTGGACTGTGAACCTAGAGGTGGGTAAAGTAAGGAGACAAGTGAAATACTACAAGAAGTTTCCCAATGGATGTTTGCAGGACTTAAATTCAGGCAACGTTGCTTCTGGTGTTGCCAATGACCATGTGATCTTGGCCATGTTACTACCTGAGCATGTTTTCTCTAATGCAAAACAGAGGTAAAACTAGAAACCCTGACTCTATGACTGTGAAATCAAAGGAGAAGTGATAGTTAAGAATAGTAGCCAGGCGTGCATGGGCACATACAACATGCCCAGGTATTGGTCTAGTTACCACATTTGATCCTTACATTGACCCTATGTTATACATACTTTTAGTATCCTCATTTCTTTTTATATCCAAAAAATCTGAATAATGGACTAGTTACATCACTTGCTCAAGATCACAAAGAAACTAACCTGCAGAGCAAGGATGCCACCCTAGGGAGCCTGACTCTGGAGGGTATGATCATAAGCATGACAGTTGTCCTTGTCACCTGGGATGTGCTTTATGGCACAAGATGCTATCATTCTTATTCTGGGGATGGAGGCCACAGGGGTAGCTCTGCTTTTATACCTAATTACTCTGTGGGATCCAGAATATGACTGCAAAAATATATCCTCAGCTAACAAGAAATTTACTTACTCACAGTTCCCTATATGAACCCCATAATTTGCAATGTTTGAATTCTACCACCCTGAAGAAAAAGGTGGTGGCAGCTGATATAAGAAATGAACATCAAGTTGAGTGTCTAGGGTTTGGTAGAAGGAATACATGTAATAGATGAATATTCTTGGGATGAAAAGTGACCCACCAGGTATAGACATTAGCTGTCCCAGCATCTAATACACATCCCAGATTTCTAACTTACTTTGGATCTGTAAATGTTGTTTCCAATTGATGACGTCTGATGTGCCAAGGAATTCTTGACAGTTCTTGGGATCCTTGGAATAGATTTGGTAGGTATTGGTATAATGATCAAAGTCATCTGTCATCTCCTGTTTCATTGAGTAATGTGAGATAAATCAAATTGTTTATAACAAGGGACTGGAATACCTGAGTTTAGGATTTTCATTATACTACTTTACTACTTTACAAACTTCAATATTGATATTTTTCTTAACATGCTATCAATATCTGTGTATCGCTTACATAATAAAACCACGTTACGTATTTACTCAATTATTCAATTTCTGATTAAGAAAAACTTGCTGAACTGGATATTTATATCTTGCATTACAAGTTTGAATCAACCAAACATGTACTGCTTTAGAAAGAATTCTTCTGTAATTCTGGAATCCTCGGGAAAAATAAAGTACTCTTATCAAAGGCAAGTTTCCATTGCAAGAATGAATCTTACTCCATTTTAAAGAGTCTCAGAACAAATGGATTATGAACATGACAACATTAAAATTGACACAGATGAGGGAAACAATGCTAAACAAATTAGCATTCTCACATACGTATGATAATGCTATACAAATTATAGAGGCTCAATGTCTTTGAAATGCAAACCACAATGCACTATTATTTAAAACATAATTTGCATTTCCAACAAAATTGATATGCAAAATTTATTCAAAAGTATATTCTCAAAATTAATATATAAGAAATGGAATTATTGGAAAATGAAGGAAGGAGTTAGAGAACAACAGCTCAACAAAGGTAGAATGGCCAAAAAGTGTTATACAGAAATGCACTGCATTAATACAAGGACAATCTATGCTTTTAAGAACAATTTAAAAAACAAACATTTTTTCATATTTAAATTTCAACTAAGCTAAATATCTTCATTTTGTATGCTGTCTAGTTTGGTATTTTCTGAAAAGCACTATACATTTACATTTTATTTGTAAATATTTTATATTAAAATATTATATAGTTATATATTCTTGCATGCATAAGTTTTTGCTTTATATTTTCTGATATGCTTTATAACATATTTGTATATGAAATGTATGAAGTACTTAGATTGGGTAATTTTATTTTTTCTCTTCTTAAATTTATTTATTAACTAGAGGCCCAATGCATGAAATACGTGCAAGGGTAGGCCTTCACAACCCCAGCTGCCTCAGCCCTCGCAAGCCCTGGCTGCTGCCTCCTGGCCCTGCAGCCCTGCCCCCTGCCCACTGGTAGTTCCGGAGGGTCATTCCACCGTCTGGTCTAATTAGCATATTAGCTCTTTATTATATAGGATGGCAGTTTACATTCAATATTATTTTGTATTAGTTTCAGATGTACAGCATAGTGCTTAGGTAATCATATACTTTACAAAGTGGTCCCCTGATATTTTCAGTACCCACCAAGCAGCAACGTAGTTATTACAATATTATTGACTCTATTCCCTATTCTGTACTTATATCCACATGACTATTTTGTGACTACTAATCTCTACTTCTCGATACATTCACCTTTTTCACCAAGTTCTCACACATCCCTCCCCTCTGGCAACCATCAGTCTGTTCTCTGTATCTATTAGTCTGTTTATACACTGTTTGCTCACCTATTTGGCTCTTTCATTTCCACGTATAAGTGAAATCATATGGTATTTGTCTTCTTCTGAATGACTTATGACTTATTTCACTTAGTATAATACTCTCTAGGTCCATCCATGCTGTCACAAATGGTAAGATTTCATTATTTTTTATGACTGAATAATATTCCATTGTATATATGTGCCACCACTTTTATATCCACTCATCTATTGATAGGCACTTGGGTTGATTCCATATCTTGGCTATTGCAAATAACACTGCAATAAACAGGAGTGCATATGTATTGTTTGAAATTAGCAATTTGGATTTTTTCAGATATATGCCCAGAAATGGAATCTCTGGGTAATAAGGTAGTTCCATTTTTGTAATTTTTTTAGGAAACTTCATATAATTTCCCATAATGGCTGCACCAATTTGCATTCCCACCAAATGATTCCCTTTGCTCCACATACTTGCCAACACTTGTTGTTTGCTGATTTATTGATAAGAGACATTCTGACAGGTGTGAGGTGATATGTCATTATGGTTTTAATTTGCATTTCTCTAATGGTTAGTGACATTGCACATTTTTTATATGTCTATTGGCCATCTGTATGTCATCTTTGGAGAAGTGTCTATTCAGGTCTGCTTCCCCCTCCCCCTTTTTTTAAAATCAGATTGGTCTTTTTGTGTATGTGTTGAGTTTTATTTCTGGGCTCTCTATTCTGTTCCTTTGATTGATGTATTTGTTTATATGCCAGGACCATGTTGAATTTATTTTTATTTTATGTATACTTATTTTTAATCCTTATCCGAGGATATGTTTTTATTAATTTGCAAGAGAGAGAAGAAGGGAGAGAGTTCTAGTAGTTGTGTGTGTGTATGTGTGTGTGTGTGTGTGTGTGTGTGTGTGTGTGTGTGTGT